TTTAATAGTAGCCGAACTGAGTAATCGAAAAATTGCATCAAATGTTATAAAAACCTAACTTCAAAGTTTGTATGGGACAATAAGCTTAAGCAACCCCTGTTTCTACGACACTGCGTTCACTCGAACAATTGTAATTATGTGTGAATATGTGTGTGAATATATCTTTTAAACATACGTAATTAGGAAAAATATTTAATTAGATTTTCGTCTTATTTTGACTTGCTTAATCTGTTCCTAAATTTATGCCACTAAGTTTAGGGACACCTTGTATATAAAATTGCTTATCCCAGAAACCTGTGACAATGTCTAATACCACCACCTTAAAGTTATATTAATCTCCATTCACACTGGCGCGCCGTCGTTTTCTATATAACGTGCGAGGTTTAATGAAGCCGTGATTTTTTAATACAGAAAATATTGATGCGGGGGTGGTCGTTACATTAAATATTACCCGCTAAAGATGGAAGCAGGAGTTGAACGAACTTTCGCATGATGAAGCAACATCCTTATCGGTGATCTCGTTGACGCTACATTTGCTTACCCGCTATCTGCAGGATAACTTGTCCTGAAACAAAATACATTTTCGAATATTTAGGGCGTACAAAAGGAAGAGAGCATTTTTTATAAATACACGCTGTGTTTTATGTTTTATTTCTTAATACAAACTACGAGGTGTATTTAGAAAATAACGGGAATTGTTAAATTTCGCGGGTTCGGAGGGTCCGGTTGTCATAAAATTTTCTTTATTATGTTGGTATACATACCCCTGAAGTATGATACAAACTTTAGCTGTTTTCATTGTTTACTTTATCTGTGGCAGCCGCTAAGGTTATGCGTGTTTTATGAGCTCGGCGATTTTTCGTTCGTTAAAAGAAATGAATCAAAGAATTTGTATCCAATTTTCCTTAAAAAATGAAATAAATTCTGTGAAATGTTAACAAAGGCCTATAGTGAGTCTGCTATAAGTAAAACAAGAGTTTACAAATGGTATAAGAGTTTCCAAGATGGCCATGGAGACGTTGAAGATGACGAACGCACAAGCACATTAACAACCGATAAAAACATGGAAAAAGTGGAAGAAATGGTTATAAACCACCAGAGAAGTCGCTGATGATGTTGGTATATCGATTGGCTCATCCCATGAAATGTTTTCGAATGTTTTGGGTATGATACGCGTAGCAGCAAAATTTGTTCTAAAATTGTTAAATTTTGAAAAAAATTTTTGGCCAAAAACAATACTGTAATGATGCCCCAGCCTCCATATTCTCCAGACATGCCTCTGTCTGACTTTTTCCTATTCCCAAAAATAAACCTTAAAGGGCCGTCGTTTTGCAAGCATAGATGACATTAAAAGCGCATCGTTGAAAGAACTAAAGGCTATCCCAAAGATCGAGTTTTATAAGTGTTTCGAGTATTGGAAGAAGAGCTGGCACATGTGCATAATATCCAATGGGGACTATTTTGAAGGCGACAACATTAATGTAGACGAATAAATAAATATTTGTTTCAAAAAACAAAAATTCCCGATATTTTCTTAACAAACCTCGTATTAACCAGATTTTATGTTAATTCAGGTCCACATAACTGTTATGTTTACAACCAACTGTAATCTGTTAACTAATTGAATAAGTAGTTTGTAATTATCACAAAAATGTTGTTGATTTAATAACAAACTTCTACATCAATAATTCTTGCAATTTTTAAAAAGTACCTTATTTTTACAAACCTTTTGTAGACCCAGTCACAAAAGTATTTGTTGGAATTTGGGAACTTAAATGAAAAGAATTTTGATTAGAAATGTTGCTTTATTAATCAATCTCCTAAACAAAAAAAAACACATACCTACATAAATAGACACAAAAATAACATACACACAATTCTGAAAGGTTTAAAAAATACATTTTTAAATAATCATGACAATATAAAATAGACAAAACAGCGTTTAAAACCGCCATTGGTCTCAAACAAAGAGAAACCGAGATGTATAGAGAGTGGCCAACAAGTCCTGCTGCGGCAACAACAGCAGGAAACCGAATCCGTGGATTCCCGCAGGAGAGTATGAATCACAAGGATTGTTGAATTAAAAACCGTAGTGGGCGCTGGAAAAAGGTGAAACAACACAAGCTGAACCGCATCGACCTCATACCCTTACTTTATCTGATGCTAAAGCATTTTTACGATTAAATGGCTTTATTAATTATTTTTCAAGGATTTATCTGCATTCGCCTCGCTTTTTTTGTTCCTATAACCACACACCTACACGGTGTGCCATTAAACTTGTTTTAAAAATCATCATTTCTGACCAACACTTTTTAAAACTTGGTAAAAGCTAAAAAGCAGAAACTCCAATTTTCAATAAACTATCTGCTGGTTAAATTATGTTGAAAACCTGGACCATAATGCATAATGCATAATGCTACTAATATTAAATACTAAACAACAATTCTTTTAAATTTATATAAATTATTAATAAAAATATAACAGTTTATTTGGTTTATAATACTACAACATTTGACTAGAGGCGAATTTATTTGCCTATTTGTTCGGGGACATGAGTAGCTTAAAATTTGAGTATTTCTTAATCTTGTATCAGGTACTTTTATATTAATAAGTTTTAAAATATCAGGACTATCTAAAAGAAAATTAAGTATTTTATAAATAAAAACAGAGCAGTAATATTTTCTTCTTGTTAGTAAGCTATTTATACCATACTCAAGATTTAAGACATAGCATGGAATATCAGATGGATATGATCCAGTTAGCATAAAATGATATAGTTTTAGAAATTTATTTTGGCATTTTTCAATAAGGTTAATTGATTTTTTATAATACGGGTCCCAAATGATACACCCGTATTCCAATTTAGTTCTTACAAAAGTTTCATATAAACATTTGAATACCTTGGGATTCATATCTCTAGTATTTCTAAAAATTAAACCTATCATTCTATACGAACTTTTAACTATGCTATCAAAGTGATAGTTAAACATCAATTTTTCATAAAAAATAATGCCTAAATCTGACCTAACTTTTACATTCATGAGGGATCTGTTTCCAATTTTATATTTATAATTAATTTGGTTACGCCTGTTTTTTGCGGTAAAAAACATAAAAACATTTTGAAACATTAAGTTGTAATTTATTTTTATTTGCCTAAGAATTTAGTTCATTTAAGTCATTTTGCAGATTTAGACAGTCTTGTATGCTGTTTACTGGATTATATAATTTTATATTATCTGCATAAAGCAATTTGAGAAAAAAAAAGTAAAACTAGTTATTCATTAGGAACATCATATTTATACATTTTCTGAAGTAATATAACGTGATTAACTTTATCGAAAGCTTTTTCAAAATCAGTATAAATAACATGTACCTACATCTAAAAAACTTAAGGAAGTATAAATCCTATTTTTAGGAAAAGTGCAAAATTTTAATTCAAAACAAGCAGCGAATAAATTGGTTTTCTTGCTTCGGTTATTTTAATATTTTGACTAAAAATCACCCAAGATCTATTTTAAAACATAATAAATTGAAAATACGAGGCGTGTTAATAAAATATCGGGAATTTTCGTTTTTTGAAAAATATTTATTTATTCGTCTACATTAATGTTGTCGCCTTCAAAATATTCCCCATTGGATATTATGCACATGTGCCAACTCTTCTTCCAATACTCACAACACTTCTAAAACTTGATCTTTGGAATAGCCTTTAGTTCTTTCAGCGATGCGCTTTTAATGTCATCTATGCTTGCAAAACGACGGCCCTTTAAGGTTCTCTTTATTTTTGGGAATAGGAAAAAGTCAGACAGAGGCATGTCTGGCGAATATGGAGGCTGGGGCATCATTACAGTATTGTTTTTGGCCAAAAATTTTGTTCAAAATTTAACAATTTTAGAACAAATTTTGCTACCACGCGTTTCATACCCAAAACATTCGAAAAAATTTCATGGGATGAGCCAATCGATATACCAACATCATCAGCGACTTCTTTGATGGTTTTTAACCATTTCTTCCACTTTTTCCATGTTTTTATCGGTTGTTAATGTACTTGTGAGTTCGGGGCGTTCGTCATCTTCAACGCCTTCACGGCCATCTTGGAAACTCTTATACACTTGTAAACTCTTGTTTTACTTATAGCAGACTCACTATAGGCCTTTGTTAACATTTCACAGAATTTATTTCATTTTTTAAGCAAAATTGGATACAAATTCTTTGATACATTTGTTTTAACGAACGAAAAATCGCCGAGCTCATAAAACACGTCTAACCTTAGCGGCTGCCACAGACAAAGTAAACAATGAAATCAGCTAAAGTTTTTATCATACTTCGGGGGAATGTATACCAACATAATAAAGAAAATTGTATGACAACCGGACCCTCTCAACCCGCGAAATTTAACAATTCCCGTTATTTTCTGAACACACTCGTAAATAATAAAACATTGCCATAATAGATTTGGTTTTATTTATATACCTTTAACATACATTAAAGTATTCCCTTGAATAGATAAGCGTAATTTTGCACGCCATAATCTACAAGTTACCATTATCTACATGCTACCATAAGTTAAAAAGTATGTTGTTCAATTCAATCAATTACGTGTACTGTATATAGATTTTTAATATATGAAACTTGTGTTGAAATTTTATAACCATATTTAAAAAAAAATAATTAATCAATTAAGTTTATATGTACTTTTTTTAAAATCATTCAAATATTGCCCTCTTAGTATCTCCATTCAAGAAACATCCTGTGGGTATGTGGATTTTGCGTTTTTGTTTAGATAGTTATTGGACGCCCTGTATAGTAAATATAAACAATATTCAGCTGATTTGAGCGGTGCTACGTTAAAGGATTTATTATTTATTAGGAATATGAAAGGAGACGGCCATGAATATTTAAAACTATTTTAAGCATGGTGTAGTAAATTGTCAGCTATTGTAGCAGTTGTTATGTTTTATTCGCGCTGTTGGCAATTCTAATTTAACAACTGACATCTTTAGTGGATTGAGGTTTATCAAAAACAGTCGTGATTTAAAATGGCGGGAAATATTTAAATGTTGTGATTTTTTGTTTAAGTTTGTTGTTTAATACAAATAAGTATTTTTTGTAATATTTTTTAAGATTAATATTTGTAGACCTAATAAGAATCTTATAGGGTAAGTAAATTAGTATTTAACATATTTTATCGAAGAAAAGTACAAACTGAGTGTATTTTTTTATTTATAAAAGATCCTACCTTTTTAGTGACCATGTCTAAAAAAACAAAGGCGATTTGTTTGGAAAACTTTAGCTCAACGTAAGTAGAGTGAAAAACTATTAGTTTAGGTAAAGTTTATTTTAAAATTTGACATCATATTATCATTTTCTAGAGCCACATTAGCCAACAATGAAGTAATTGTACCAGTGGGTAGCCAGGATACGTTAAATGAAAAAGATTATGACCCTTACGAGCACAGAAATGTATTACATCCAAACACGTAAGTAATTTATAACAATGTTTAATATTAATTATAACTCTGGTCGACAGCAATTTTGCCTCAAGTGTTTAAACAAAAAATTCCATTTCGTCGACAATAAAACAAAAAAAAACGCAAAAAAGTTCAAGGTTTTTATCTGATTTTGTTTTTTATTTAATATTAAAACACGTTTAAAAATTGGCCTACTTGACTTGAGTCGGTTTCTTTAAACAATAACCTTAATAGAAAAATACGGTACTTATCTCTTTTATTAAATTTAATGAAAATTATATGAGATAGCATCGTTATTTAACGTTCAGATTCACGTGGTCCTTGACCTGGTCAAATTAATCATACAGTATATATATACATAGTTATTTTTACCCTTTAAAAATTTACAATAGTCTTCCCTTTGCAACTACATAAAGTTCCGGTCTCTATTAGTTATATATTTATTTGGCATGACCAAAGGCTATTGATAATTTGCGCAATACCTGGGGAATTTTATAATGAGAGGCAATGACCCAAAAATAAAAATTCAGATGTAGCTAAATGTTAATAATAAATGCAAACAACAATCAAGGTTATTTCTGCATTTTATTAATATTCTAATTTGCTGGTTATTCTACCATGGGTATAAAATAAAATGTAAGAAAACATTACAATTAGACAAGATCATTACAAAGTAAAATTATTTAATAGCAAAGTTGTAATATTTTAGATATTTTGGGGCCTTAGTGCACTTACTAAAATGTTCTTTAGGAACTGGAATTTTGGCAATTCCTAGAGCCTTTAAGGCTTCAGGACTAGCAGTTGGAGTTGTTGGAACCGTTTTCATTGGTATATTATGCACATATACAATACATATTTTGGTAAGAAGAATTAACTTATCCGATTGATCTTATTTATTTATACAGCCTAGGTGGTTTTTGATTGAAGATACAAATATTTTTTAGATGGTTGCCTCTTTAAAAATGTGCAAATTAACCAAAAAACCTGGTCTAGATTTTTCTGAAACTATATTTGAAATTGTAAAACATGGCCCAAAGGGTTGTAGAAAATATGCCCGATCAGCAAAGTGAGTGTAATTAATAAATACAATTACGTATTATATTTTATAATTATTACCTATATTATTTTTATTTAATTGTAAAAATCTTATTTTTAGAATTTTTGTTGAATCTGGTCTTTTGCTGTCCTATTATGTTGGAGGATCAGTATATATTGTATTTATTAGTACTTCTATAAAACAAGTAAGTCCAGTATATAAATATAGTTCATATATTTATAAACAAAAAATTTCATTTACCAGATCACTAATGATTACTTTTAAATTATAATAATTATTTGTTAATATAATATAGTAATATTTCCCATGCAATTTCCCAAGGTATTTCCTATTATATTATTTTCTATCCTTTCCATTTTAAATTTTTAAAATATTTTATTCAAGGTTTATTATATTTATAGATACCTAAGTAATTTTTCAGATAGGTATTTTAACAAAGTAAAATATTTTTCATCAATTTATTTTACTTTTCTAGTTAATGGACTACCTCTACCCAGAACTGATCGAATACTCGGACAGATGGTACATGGTGATCATCATGGTTCTTTTGATAATTTTTTGTCAAGTGCGCGAACTCAAACACATGGTACCTTTCTCCTTTACGGCCAACGCGATGATGGTCATAGCCTTCGGAATAACTCTTTACTACATATTCCTGAGAATTGACAACGTGGATTTCAAAGAAATCAAGATGGTTGGGAATTTGACAGGGATGCCCGTGTTTTTTAGCACTGTGATGTTTGCCATGGAAGGTAAAACAATCAAAAAAATATTTAAAAAATACTACATATATTTTTTAGGTATTGGTTCAATTTTTCCCCTTGAAAATACAATGATAAAGCCCCAATTTCTCGGTTGTTTTGGGGTATTGAATGTCACAATGACTTTAATTACCATTATGTATTTGTGTATGGGTTTTTTCGGTTATTTGGCATTTGGGGAAGTGACTGAAGCCACTATCACCAAAAATTTACCAGTTGAAGAAGTGTATGTAGAAAATGCAGGTTGTTAGAAAAATAAACCACATAAATATGTTTTTTTAGTGTTGCCCAGGTAGCAAAATGGTGCATCTCATTGGCAGTATTCTTCACCTTCATGTTGATGTTCTATGTTCCCATAGACATAACTTGGAGGAAAATAAGTGGCCACATCAGCGAGAAACGACACAATTTAAGCCAGTTTTCTCTGCGCACAGGAATAGTGATATTTGCTACTTGCATCGCCATTTTCGCTGGCGAACATCTGGGTCCTTTGATAGAGTTAGTCGGAGCGATATTTTTATCCACTTTGGGGCTCATGGTGCCCGCTATAATGGATACGCTTATAAACTGGGACAACTTGGGGTGCTTCTATTGGAAATTCTGGAAGAATTTGGTGATATCAATTTTTGGGCTGTTTGGGGCTGTCGCTGGGAGTTACTATGCCATTTTATCGATGGTTAATGAGGAGTCGTGATACGTGGATGTTTATGCATTAATCTGTGATATTTTTAAAATACATTGTATATTATATTTTTTGACCTCTAAATACATTACAATAACAAAATAAGGTGTAATGTTACTAATGTCTATAAGGTGATGCACTTTTTCTGCCATTGAGGCATTTGGCATAGTTATCTTTTTATATCGATTTTATATAATAATTAACAAGTAAATTATCATTAATAAATATTACTGTCAATTTGACAGTGTCAGAGAATTTAATTAAGATCTTCAGCAGAAGTACCATTTTTAAATACTAAATCAAACTGGCATAAGCTACCAACTTAATAAAAAAACACGAGTCCAAATAAAAAAAAAATTAACTGTACATTTGTAAATTATGTATAAATTCTGTATTAATTTTACAATTTTTGCAAAAATGGCGAATGCGCCAGAATTAATTTATAATTTAAATTATTTATTATACTCTATAGAGTATACGTATAGTATCGTATACAGTGTATCCCCGGGTTGACTTAATGGATGATATTTTCGAATTGAAACCGAGCTGCAGATTTCACGAGTCCGCAGGACGAGTGAAATGTGCTGCTTCGGTTTCAATGACTATTTCCCTCGTCTTAATTTCCACCAATCACAAACGCGCAATTTTAAATTACAAATGGTTTCTAGGTGAAAAAACTGTGTGACAGCACCTGTCAGCAGTTTATTCGAGTTTACCCGCGGCAAAACTTGACAGCTGTTGTCACCAAAAATTGCAATTTATATTTTAATTGTTAACTGTTACTCATGAAATAGTCTTGTCAAATACCATTCGGGCATCTAATTTTTCCTGTGAAAAAAATCGAAAAAACACAATGCTAAGTAATATTTTTTAACAAAAAGCATTCGTGCAGGTGCAAAAATCCTCCTCTTCGACTCGGATTTTTGTTGCCACCAGCACTCATGCTTATTGTTAAAATATTACTTAGCAACGTGTTTTTACGATTTTTTTCGGAAAAATTAGATGCCCTTATGATATTACTTACGAAAAAACTGTGTGACAGCACCTGTCAGCAGTTTATTCGAGTTTACCCGCGGCAAAACTTGACAGCTGTTGTCACCAAAAATTGCAATTTATATTTTAATTGTTAACTGTTACTCGTGAAATAGTCTTGTCAAATACCATTCGGGCATCAAATTTTTCCTGTGAAAAAAATCGAAAAAACACAATGCTAAGTAATATTTTTTAACAAAATGCATTCGTGCAGTTGCAAAAATCCTCCTCTTCGACTCGGATTTTTGTTGCCACCAGCACTCATGCTTTTTGTTAAAATATTACTTAGCAACGTGTTTTTTCGATTCTTTTCGGAAAAATTAAATGCCCTTATGATATTACTTACGATTAAATATCATCGACTATTTCCCTCGTCTTAATTTCCACCAATCACAAACGCGAAATTTTGAATTTCAAATGGTTTCTAGGTGACTATTTCCCTCGTCTTAATATCCACCAATCACAAACGCGCAATTTTGAATTACAAATGGTTTCTAGGTGAAAAAACTGTGTGACAGCACCTGTCAGCAGTTTATTCGAGTTTACCCGCGGCAAAACTTGACAGCTGTTGTCACCGAAAATTGCAATTTATATTTTAATTGTTAACTGTTACTCATGAAATAGTCAAATACCATTCGGGCATCTAATTTTTTCTGTGAAAAAAATCGAAAAAACACAATGCTAAGTAATATTTTTTAACAAAATGCATTCGTGCAGGTGCAAAAATCCTCCTCTTCGACTCGGATTTTTGTTGCCACCAGCACTCATGCTTTTTGTTAAAATATTACTTAGCAACGTGTTTTTTCGATTCTTTTCGGAAAAATTAAATGCCCTTATGATATTACTTACGAAAAAACTGTGTGACAGCACCTGTCAGCAGTTTTTTCGAGTTTACCCGCGGCAAAACTTGACAGCTGTTGTCACCAAAAATTGCAATTTATATTTTAATTGTTAACTGTTACTCATGAAATAGTCTTGTCAAATATCATTCGGGCATCTAATTTTTCCTGTGAAAAAATCTAAAAAACACAATGCTAAGTAATATTTTTTAACAAAATGCATTCGTGCAGGTGCAAAAATCCCCTCTTCGACTCGGATTTTTGTTGCCACCAGCACTCATGCTTCTTGTTAAAATATTACTTAGCAACGTGTTTTTTCGATTTTTTTCGGAAAAATTAGATGCCCTTATAATGATATTACGATACGATTCGTACTTACGATAATTAATCATACCACGAGTTATATTTAGTGAGAAAATATAATGAATTTTAGGATTTAACGAATTGTTAGTTTGACATTTGAAATTAAAATGTGCTTTAAAATATAAAAAGGCTTTAATAAACCTTATTTATTCAAACTTACCTTAATTTTATTATCGTTTACACCAACCCATCTTTTAGAGTTTATAATTCATTATTTTAATCATTTAACAAACACAGTATTTAAATGTGAACAAATGATAATAAATTGTATTGTCGTAAGTAATATCATAAGAGCATCTAATTTATCCGAAAAAAATCGAAAAAACACGTTGCTAAGTAATATTTTAACAAGAAGCATGAGTGCTGGTGGCAACAAAAATCCGAGTCGAAGAGGAGGATTTTTGCACCTGCACGAATGCTTTTTGTTAAAAAATATTACTTAGCATTGTGTTTTTTCGATTTTTTTCACAGGAAAAATTAGATGCCCGAATGGTATTTGACAAGACTATTTCATGAGTAACAGTTAACAATTAAAATATAAATTGCAATTTTTGGTGACAACAGCTGTCAAGTTTTGCCGCGGGTAAACTCTTTACAATTAAACTTTTATGTTTATTATGATTATAATTAATTTACCTTATACAATTCACAGTTACGAAAAAAGTAATATGGTTTTTTCTTTCATTTTAGATACCTATTTTGTTTTACTTTTTACTATAAGAAAAGAAATAATCCATAAATTGTTTTTTCTACTCCCACCTTTAAAACGCCCTTTATCGTACATGTTTCCATGACACTAAGTGACCTTTTAAATACACATTGACAAGTTGTGGCTCTTTGGCGCTTCAGTCACGGGCTGAAGTTAGCAACAGGTTTTTAGTCACGGGCTGAAGTTATTTTTAAGTTAGTTGACAGTTGTCAAATGTCATACAATCGTTAAAATAAAGTGCCTTTCTTGTAAAATAATACTAAATGTGAAAATTATTTTATTATCTAAATACAAAAATACAAAACTATTAAAGAGTTTCTCAACGCCAATATTTGAAAAGTTTATAAGTCAATCCAAATGAAAACACCAAAAATGAATTTAAAAGTGCGCTGCATGATTTTTTATTTTAATGAAACAATTTGAGGATGATCTTTTAGGTATCATATATGAAAAACCGTTGCCGTTTTAATTCTTAGTTGCTTTATTTTTAATCGGCACCCTTTAGAAACCTGACTCTCTCTTATAAGAGGCTAAAACTTTTTTTCTGTGGCAATTATTGAAATGATTGTAATTTTATTTTAATGCCTAGTAAGTATGTTTTCAATATTAATTATTATTATCCAATTAGTTCATCTCATAAAAGAATGGTAAACCATTAAAGATTTGTAATAATTTGCCAATTTTTGTGATTTTTGTCCTGATACCAAATTTTGGTATCAGCATTTAGATTCTAACGTTTTATTTATTTGGTTACTTAATTAATACAAACATTATTTAGATGATTTGTTAAATTATTTATTAGGAATATTAAAAACATCTTAAGCATGCTTTAATAAATCTTCTGCTATTGTACAGGGTGATCCCCTATAATGTCGCCCCCCTTTAACTTTTTTATTTTAAGTGTCCCAAAAAATTTAAAAGTGTGGTTATATAGGTACTAAAAAATACTTTTTTTCTACGTATAAAGAAAAATGGAAAATTGATCAATTTACAGGGAAAACCAAAAAGTTTATTTTTTTTCAATGGATCACCCTATATATGAATTTATTTTTTGATTCCTTGTAAAATTCTGAGCATAATTCATATAACAAACCATATACCTAAACTCAACTGTTTCTGAAATATTCGCATTCGAAATGTTATCATTAAATGTTTTTTTAAACTGTTAGAAATCAAGAAGCCTCAGTATACCAACATTTTTATTTAAAATAAATTACTATAGTCACATTATGTCAATATGTCTTATTAAATAAGTAAAAATGTGGTACTCAGACAGAGAACCAAACTATTTTAAATTATTATCTTAAAAATAATTTAAATATTTCAGAAACGGTTGAGTCTAGGTATATGGTATGTTATATGAAATATGTTTAGAATTTTACGAGGAATCGAAAAATAAATACATATATAGGGTGATCCATTGAAAAAAATAAACTTTTTGTTTTTCCCTGTATACTGATCAATTTTCCAATTTTCTTTAAACGTAGAAAAAAAGTATTTTTTAGTTCCTACATAACCACACTTTTAAATTTTTTGGGACACTTAAAAAAAAAAAGTTAAAGGGTGGCGACATTATAGGGGATCACCCTGTACAGTAGGTACCTAGGTAGGTACATAGTTGTTATGTTTTATTTGCGCTGTAAAAGTAAGGCTTTAACAGTTGGCAATTTTAACTTAACAACTAATCTTTAGTGAATTCACGTTTATAAAAAATAGGCGGAAAATATATATTTAAATTTATTATTAAAATTAATTAATATGTAAGTGTTGTTCAATCAAAAAGAATATTTGTTGTAATTTTTGTAGACCTAATAAGAATCTTATAAGGTAAGTTATAAATAAATTAGTATAATTTTTTAAAATCATTTACGTAATTAACATTTTTTATCGGAGAAATTACCTTATCTAACTAGCTAAACCTGAGATTTATAAAAATAAATAAAATGGTCAAGGACCTTTTTTATGATTGACACGTTTTTAATAAAATATTGTAAATTATAACAACTAATTAAATAGGGAGTTGACGTAAAATAATTTTATTGCTTCAAGTATTTTTTTATTTATAAAAGACCTTACCTTTTTAGTGACCATGTCTAAGAAAACAAAGGCGATCTGTTTGAATAACTTTAGTTCAACGTAAGTAGTTTATTTTTATTTTACTGTTCTCTATTTACAATTTTTTTCTCAGGGTGAAAAATACCATTTGGTTTATTTTAAAATTTTCATATTATCGTTTTTTAGAGCTACATTAGCCAATAATGAAGTAAGTGTACCTTTGGGTAGTCAGGATACCTTAAATGAAAAAGATTATGACCCTTACGAGCATAGAAATGTATTACATCCAAACACGTAAGTAATTTATAACAATGTTTAATATTAATTATAACTCAGGTCGATAGTAATTTTGCCTCAAGTGGGCAAACAAAAAATCCCATTTCGTCGTCAATAAAACAAAAAAATGCAAAAAAAGTTAAAGGTTTTTATCTGTTTTTGTTTTTTATTTAATATTAAAACACGTTTAAAAATTGGCTTATTTAAAGGACTTTAAAATTAAAAGGAAAAGTTACAGAATAGACCCCTTAAACAATAACCTTAAAAGAAAAATGAGGTACTTATTTATTTTATTAAATTTAATGAAAATTATATGAATTCGGAGAGAAATGTATAGTAAATTTTAGATAGTAAAAAAAATATAGTAAAATTTACTTTAACAAATTTTTAGGGTAACAATATTATATATTCGTCAATACAATATTAAGATTTTAATACAAAATACTATTTTTTAATATACAATTTTAGTAAAGATTACAACACCAATATTACCAGATCATAAATGTATAATATATATTTTAATTTTTAATATGTTCGTATAGTAAATTGATTTTACTATCTACAAATAGTAATATTTACTATATGATTTTATCAAATGTAAGGTGTACATCTAATATTATAATATATTACACATTAATAAAAAAATATAGTAAAAATAAAGATACTTTTATGTTTAAGGTAAATAAACAATATATTTAAATATAATATACAATATAGTAACTCATGACATTTTAAACATTCAATTTTCTTAGTTTCTTCAATAAACTTTCTTGACCCATTACTGGTAATACTTATAAGAAAGAATTGAACCTACTTGGTTGCATACACTCTTAGAAAAGATCTGGTATTTGTAACTAACTTATTATCGTTGGGGTAAAACTGTTGCAGAAAATAAAATTTTTTGTTTTTTGTAATCAGTACCTTTATATGTGTAACTGCTTGCATCATTACCTGAAAAGATTTAGTTTTGTTGTTGAGTATTATTTACTGCAAGAAGGCGATTAAGTTATTTTAACTGAAACTTTGTGTTGGCTAGAAGTATTGACAACATTATCTCAAAAAAATCATTTCGGCGGTAAAATGTTTTTGTTGGACCAAATATTTAAGTAACATTCTCAACTGACTGAAATTAGTCCGTGGAACTAACGGTTCGGTTGTATAAACTATGCGTCACTTTTCACACAGCTAAGACACCAGCGGTGTGAAACAAAGTGTCAGTTGGGGATGTTGTCTCTGTAGGTTAATGCAACTGCAAACTTTGTGCATTTCGCGCGCGATTTGTCCAGCCCGGCGCGTGCTTTACTTTTAGCCTGTAAACAAACGGTTTTGCACGGCGCGCCGCGGCGTCCAGACTTCGGTGGTTTTCTTTTGTATTTGTGTATCAGCTCGTGTGTAGTGTATATTTAAGGTAAGAAACTAGTTTATTACAATTAGTCATTTGCCCCTGTAAATTCAGGGGCGACATACTTTTTAACTATTCATATATATAAGACTATACTCTTATGTGTTGGTTACTTATAGATATCTCGAACAAATAATATGGATGAGCGGACTGAAGTAGCAGATTTATTAGGAACATGGGGTTTACCTGAATTGGTTCCAGTTTTTAAAGGTTAGGTATTATTATTGCACTCCTTTAATTACACTATTGTAGTTTTGGGGTCCGAAAAAAAATCCAAAAATGTGAAAATGCCATTCCGACTGAAAATGGTCTCCTGAATCCAATGGTGCCCACCAAAAGTCTCCATCACGTCGGAATTTCGAGAATTTTTTGTTTTGTTTTGTTACAGCTCAAGTCGCATTTTTGGTATAGGGCCTATATCTACTATAGGCACTCACACTCAAAATTTATCGAATGCTTACCCCTGTTATCATGCAAGTATGTTACGTTGTACCTAAGAATCATTGTTAAGTTGTTAAACAAAGGCTTGCACTTCACGTAAACATCACGGTTTACTGAAGAAGTATAGTCAAATTTCATCTTAATGTACCTATCTGTGTATATTTACCAAAGAATCGTTTTTGTTTTATTGTTAAAATATTTATAAATGATTTCTTAGAGTAATTATTAATTTTTGTTATAATGTTTAAACCAAAATTTGGTGTTTTCAGTTATATTGTTATATTTTAATTTATAATAAATATTTAACGAACGGGCATGAATTTCCTTTCTCTATTTTTTATAATATTTACACAAAAAGTGATATATTTACTAAGCAGGTAGGTATGTACTGTGGAATATTACCAATTTGTTGTTGCTACTAATGCAAGCATTTAATATTAAATATAACTTAGTTACAGTACAAAACAAATTTATATTATATCAACTATTAAATTCTTTAAATGTACCTTTTTTCATGTAATTTCAATTAAAAAATAAATTTCTGCATGATACAATGTTTGTTGCGATAAATAGCAAGTGCAGTTGTTACAACTTAGACGCTGCTAAAATGACAGACTAATGTGATTGCATTAAATATTAATTATTTGTATGAAAAAAAAACTAATTTCGATGCACTTAAACTTGTTGGTTGGAGCTACCAATATTGGCTGTTCCGACAACAAACTGTAAAAACAAATTTGTATTAGTTCCCACAACATATTTTTTTGTTGTGCCTATTTTCACTAATAAAATTGGTTCTGGGAACTAAATTTTCATTGCAAATACCAGGTCTTTTCTAAGAGTGTAGTATGTACCAATTGCGGAAAAGGCCACGTCGCGACGCGTCGTTAGACGGTGTGGATCACGTGATGTTCTTACATCTCGCCTCTGTTGGCTTACCAACCATATTAGATAAGCTCAGGTATTTCTTTGTTTTGGGTGTGTTCCACTACTACAAGTTGCTCGACAGTGTCGTGTCGACACTTATTATACCCAATATAGGTCAAAACACCTGTCTGTCGGTATTTGAAGTTGATGGAAAGCACTCAAAACAAAAAACTTTGGCGAGGTGTAGGCACGATACACATAAACCGGTATGCTGATGCGCATGTTATAGTTGTCTCTCTCGCACTAGGTGACGTCATGTGCGAACCAAAAGCTGGCGGAAAACTTGGTTGAAATGTATATTCTTTTGATAAAGAGTGCTTATAAACCTTGTAAAATTCAGCATCAAGTATTTGAGCGGCTTTCCATAAATTTTTACTTGGATACAACAGAGATCCTTGTAATATGGTCTGTAACCAGTCTGGTACTTTTTCAGTGTTTAATATTTTGATTTTAGGAATGCCAAGAGTAGGGAACTTGTTTCCAATGACTTTATCTTTACGTCTTCTTTTTTCTAACCTCAAAGAACTACTGGTTTCGAAATATTATGTTGCTTTCGATTTACCAGGAAGACTCAATGTCTGTAATGCATCAGGATTTAAGTAGCGGTTATTTTTTGGACAATACTGTAGCAGTCTTTGTTTTAATGGTATTTCAAAACTTCTTTCTGTAAAATGCAGAGAACAGATGCAAGCTGTACAAATTATGAGGTTAGGGTGAAAATTACTATATGTACATAACAGAAAATTGGATATACAAAAAGTTGCCTTTACTTACCGTTTTTTAAATTAATTTTATTCACCCACTGCGTTGCCATGATAGATCTGCAGATCTGCAGATCTTTATTTTTTAAGAAACGAAAATATTTCGTGTTACTGCCTTTGGTGTTTTTATTCAAATTTTTGCAGTCTGCCACAGCACAGCCTGGCATATTTTAGTGTTATTAAGTCCAACAAATTAACACAAACCTAATAAATAACCTGGTATGAAACTCCCGTATCCCAGGTAGCACACTGACGTCTGCTGACGTTTAAATGACGTTGAAATGACGTCATTTAAACGTCAGCAGACTTCAGTATGCTACCTGGGCTTACGACAAACGTTGCAAAGCTCACGTGTACCTTATGCCTCGAAAAACACAATAATTGCTGATAAAACTCAAAATAAATGGTAGTAAAGCACTTTTGCATAGCGTATTCCTATGCAAAACATTTGAATCTGGTTTGTACGTGACGTCACATGCGCGGAGTCGACAAGTTTTCGTTTCATAACCAGCATACCGGTTTAAGTGTATCGTGGGTGTAGGTTCAATTCTTTCTCATAACATTTTTGTATATTAAAAAGTACAATAAATATGTTACAATTTTTAATTGTTAACATATAAAAATATTCGATTTTAAAATATTTTATATTTAAAATGACAACATAATATTTTAAAATTTACTATACTTATTAGTAATGTAAAAAATCTAATTATAATAAGAATAAAAAACAGTATTGGTTGAGAATAATAATATTTTACCTTAAGGTTTAACATAAAAGGATATTTAAAAAGTACTAAATATGCATAGTATCTAGCAATATACAAGATAGTTGTCCCAAATAGTTATATAAATTAAAGTAAACGGTATTATAATGACGATACTTTTCTACATAAAGGTCCGGTCTCTATTAGCTATATATTTATTTAGCATGCCCAAAGGCTATTGATAATGTGCGCAATACCTGGGAAATTTTATAATAAAAGGCATTAACCCATGGGTTAAAATAAAAATTTAGATGTAGCAAATGTTAATTATAATTATAATATGCAATTAAACAAGATCATTACAAAGTAAAATTATTTAATAGCAAAGTTGTAACATTTTAGATATTTTGGGGCCTTAGTACACTTACTGAAATGTTCTTTAGGAGCTGGAATTTTGGCAATCCCTCGAGCATTTAAGGCTTCAGGACTAGCAGTTGGTGTTATTGGAACCATTTTCATTGGTATATTATGCACATATACAATACATATTTTGGTAAGAACAATTAACTTATCCAATTGTTCAGCCTAGGAGGTGTTTTAATTGAAGATACAATTATTTTTTAGATGGTAGCCTCTTTAAAAATGTGCAAATTAACCAAAAAACCTGCTCTAGATTTTTCTGAAACTATATTTGAAATTGTTAAACATGGGCCAAAGGGTTGTAGAAAATATGCCCGATCAGCAAAGTGAGTTTTTAGAAAATAATAATAAATAAATAAAATTGCGTATTTTAATTTATAATTATTATATTATTTTTAATTATTTATAAAGATTTTATTTTCAGAATTTTTGTTGAATCTGGTCTATTGCTGTCCTATTATGTTGGAGGTTCAGTATCTATTGTATTCATTAGTACTTCTATAAAACAAGTAAGTTCAATATATATATATATATATATATATACAGGGTGTTATGTAATTAATGTTATATATTAAAATACTGAATACCTTTTGACATAAGGTGTAATGGAAAAATATTTTAAAAGATATTTTCCCAAAGATAAAGAAAATATATGCATTAGAAGTTTTTTATATTTTTTTTGATACGCCACTGGTTACACAAGTTGTGTTCTGTGAGTACATACATACAAACCAACAAAGTAGCTGCGCGTTGCCAGTTGTAAAAAATTGTTACTAAAAAATTTTCTTGCATAAAATAAATAAATACAAAAGTTTTAAGCCCTTAAAGTTCTAATACCATTCTGTATTTATTTACTCATCCAGCTATTAACTTAAGCAATGATAAGAAAAATTAGTACCTATTTAAAAACTCCATAAAATTAATTTTTTTATCGGTTTTTTTTTCTGTTTACTCAGATGAAATTAGGACAAGTTCACAGGTTAATCGTTAAATATTCAATTTGTGTAAATAAATCCAAACGCCCAAAAACACTTCCCTTAGTTAAGATATTTACAATTTTAGCACATAACCTACAATTTTTTGACAGTGTTACCAACCAACATAATAAATTAAACCAGATTAACTTAAAGTAAAGTAAATCATTACGAATTATGAATAAAGTTTAAATCTGGAGTGTCTAAATTTAAATATATTTGTTATAAGTATGTTTTTAAATCACAATGTTAAAACGATTTTTAAAAAATCATTAGTTTACAAATTTTTACAAGGTCTAATTAGTGATCAAGTTTTTTCAGGTTTTTATTCGTAAGTAATATCATAAGGGCATTTAATTTTTCCGAAAAAAATCGAAAAAACACGTTGCTAAGTAATATTTTAACAAAAAGCATGAGTGCTGGTGGCAACAAAAATCCGAGTCGAAGAGGAGGATTTTTGCACCTGCACGAATGCTTTTTTTTAAATATTACTTAGCATTGTGTTTTTTCGATTTTTTTCACAGGAAAAATTAGATGTCCGAATGATATTTGACAAGACTATTTCATGAGTAACAGTTAACAATTAAAGTATAAATTACAATTTTTGGTGACAACAGCTGTCAAGTTTTGCCGCGGGTAAACTCGAATAAACTGCTGACAGGTGCTGTCACACAGTTTTTTCACCTAGAAACCATTTGTAATTCAAAATTGCGCGTTTGTGATTGGTGGAAATTAAGACGAGGGAAATAGTCTTTTATAAATATTTTGAAAGTTTGAAAATTTGTTTTTTATTAGTATTAATAATAAGTACTTAATTAGTGCGAAAGATTTTATGCTATGGCGGGTCGGGCGCTCACAAATATTCAATTAACAAATATTGTTTTGTGTTACGGGGAAGCGATGCAAAATGCTCGTCAAGCAAGAATTTTGTAGGAAGGTATATTCAAAATTATCACAACGCCAATCACGGACTCGGAGCAAAGTTTTGACCGCGGAAGATTTAGCGCATTTGTTGGTGATAGGGGTCGGGCTCAGGGACGTGAATTTGTGGCCCTTGAACCTACAAAAAGTTCAAGCTCTTCAGGATGGAGATTATGCACTGCGGTTGGAATTTTGCCATTGGTACCTATATACAGAAAAATCAAGAAGATGCGGATTGGAGCCATAGTGTTTTGTATACCGATGAGGCCACATTTACGAGAGACGGGATTTGGGCAGCAACTCAGGAATTGTAAATAGTCCAGACATTTTTACGCAGGTGCGCGAAAGCATGCTTCGCAGAGTTTAAGCTTGCATTCTAAATAATGAAATCATTTTGAGCATCTCAAATAAGGTAATACATTTTTAATTTTACATTTGGCAACACTGCATTAAAAAGTAATAGGTAAGGTTAATCCGCGGTTCCTAGTCGATCAGTGGCGTACTTTTTGGTAGGATAAAGGTTATTATAAATTATTTTTATTCTTTGGAATTTAGAAAAAAAAAGTTTCAGGTGCTTCTTTATGGACCCTAAGGAATTACCCATTTTAATATATAACATTAATTACGTATACATGACGGAGGTAACTGGTGTGGCTGAATCTGATTAAAAAGCGACACTAGCGCCAATTCATATATGGTGGAACTAAAAGTTCCTTTTTAAGAGACTGGGGGGTCAAAGTGACCTCCGAAATATTTTTGCACAGATTGATTACTGACACTCCCCGAATGTCAAAAATAAGGTTAAACACTGTGACCTCCGAATTTGGAGGTCACAGCGTCATATGAGGTCACAACGTATGAAGGGTCTCCGTTTTGGAGGTGACAATGTACCCTTTATCAATATATATATATATATTATATTATATATATATATATATATATATATATATATAGATTAGTAATTAGTAATTAGATATTTTTACAATTTAAAATATTTTTTTCTAATTTATTTGACTTTTCCCAGTTGATAGACTACCTCTACCCAGAACTGAGCGAATACTCGGACCGATGGTACATGGTGATCATCATGGTGCTTTTGATAATTTTTTGTCAAGTGCGCGAACTCAAACACATGGTACCTTTCTCCTTTACGGCCAACGCGATGATGGTCATCGCCTTTGGAATAACTCTTTACTACATATTCCTGAGAATGGACAACGTGGATTTCAAAGAAATCAAGATGGTTGGGAATTTGACAGGAATGCCCGTGTTTTTTAGCACTGTGATGTTTGCCATGGAAGGTAAACAATCAACAAAATATTTAAAAAATTCTACATATATTTTTTAGGTATTGGTTCAATTTTTCCCCTGGAAAAAACAATGATAAAGCCCCAATTTCTTGGTTGTTTTGGGGTATTGAATGTCACAATGACTTTAATTACCATTATGTATTTGTGTATGGGTTTTTTCGGTTATTTGGCATTTGGGGAAGTGACTGAAGCCACTATCACCAAAAATTTACCAGTTGAAGAAGTGTATGTAGAAAATGCAGGTTGCTAGAAAAATAAACCACCTAAACATGTTTTTTTAGTGTTGCCCAGGTAGCAAAATGGTGCATCTCATTGGCAGTATTCTTCACCTTTATGTTGATGTTCTATGTTCCCATAGACATAACTTGGAGGAAAATAAGTGGCCACATCAGTGAGAAACGACACAATTTGAGCCAGTTTTCTCTGCGCACAGGAATAGTGATATTTGCCACTTGCATCGCCATTTTCGCTGGCGAACATCTGGGTCCTTTGATAGAGTTAGTCGGAGCGATATTTTTATCCACTTTGGGGCTCATGGTGCCCGCCATAATGGATACGCTTATAAACTGGGACAACTTAGGGTGCTTCTATTGGAAATTCTGGAAGAATTTGGTGATATCAATTTTTGGGCTGTTTGGGGCTGTCGCTGGGAGTTACTATGCCATTTTATCGATGGTTAATGAGGAGTCGTGATACGTGGATGTTTATGAATTAATCTGTGATATTTTTAAAATACATTGTTTATTATATTTTTTGACCTCTGATCTAAATACATTACATTAACAAAAAAAGCTGTAATGTTTACTTGTTAATTTTACTGGTTATTGGTTTCGTTTTAACAGTTCTTTTGGTAAATTTTGAGTGGTATGAGATTTCTTTTATTTTGAGACTTTTAATGGGGGTTTAAACCCCCCAAAATATATTTATGTACCTATACTCTTGATTCTAAATAACTTGTGGTTTGTGCATCACCTGTACAGGTATATTTAGGATGCTACTGATTTAATTGAATTAAACTTTTTACAGTATCAAGATTATTAATACATAAAACTTGTGTTAAAATTTCATAACTATATTTTAAAAAGTTTTTTAAATAATTTAATTTTTAATTTACTTTTTTAACAAAATCATCCAATTGTCCATTCAATGGATACCGTTTCTTAGATGCTGATACTAAATTTTGGTATCAGCATCTAGATTTTAACGTTTTATTTATTTGGATGATTTATTAAATTATTTATTAGGAATAGGAAAGTAGACGGCCATGAATATTAAAAACATCTTAAGCATGCTTTAGTAAATCTTCTGCTATTGTACAAAGTTGTTATGTTTTATTTGTGCGTGTGTTGTGTGTTATTAACGCTTTAACAGTTGGCAATTTTAACTTAACAACTAAAATCTTTAGTGAATTGACGTTTATAAAAAATAGGCGGAAAATATTTAAATGTGGTAATTTTTGTTGAAATTTGTTGTTTAATCAAAAAGAATATTTGTTGTAATTTTTGTAGACCTAATAATAATCTTATAAGGTAAGTTATAAATAAATTAGTATAATTTTTTAAAATCATTTACGTAATTAACATTTTTTATCGGAGAAATTACCTTATCTAACTAGCTAAACTTGAGATTTATAAAAATAAATAAAATGGTCAAGGACTTTTATTTATGATTGACACGTGTTTAGTTGACGAAAAATAATTTTATTGCTTCAAGTATTTTTTTATTTATAAAAGACTTACCTACCTTTTTAGTGACCATGTCTAAGAAGACAAAGGCGATCGGTTTGGATAACTTTGGTTCAACGTAAGTAGTTTATTTTTATTTTACCGTTCTCTATTTACAATTTATTCTCTGGGTGAAAAATACTATTTGGTTTATTTTAAAATTTGACATCATTTTATCGTTTTTTAGAGCTACATTAGCCAATAATGAAGTAAGTGTGCCATTGGGTAGTCAGGATACCTTAAATGAAAAAGATTATGACCCTTACGAGCATAGAAATGTATTACATTCAAACACGTAAGTAATTTATAACAATGTTTAATATTAATTATAACTCTGGTCGACAGCAATTTTGCCTCAAGTGGGCAAACAAAAAATTCCATTTCGTTGACAATAAAACAAAAAAATGCAAAAAAAGTTCATCTGTTTTTGTTTTTTATTTAAATTAAAACACGTTTAAAAATTGGCATATTTGACTTAAACAATAACCTTAAAAGAAAAATGAGGTACTTATTTATTTTATTAAATTTAATGAAAATTATATGAAGTAGCATCGTTATTTAAAAATTTGAAAAGTCCTCCCTTCGAAACTACATAAAGGTCCGGTCTCTATTAGTTATTTAGCATGCCCAAAGGGTATTGATAATGTGCGCAATACCAAATTTTATAATAAAAGGCATTAACCCAAAAATAAAAATTTAGATGTAACAAAATGTTAATTATAATATGCAATTAAACAAGATCATTACAAAGCAGTGGCGGCTCGTGAGCATTCATTAAGGTGAGGCCTATGAACCGCTATATGGGGCCGCAGGCAATTTTTTTTAAATTTTCAAGGTCTCGCGTTTTTGGAGCACTTTAGAATCTAAATAATAAAAATATATTATTTAAAAAATGTTCTTACACGAGAAGAATTTTCAAAATTTAGCTAGAATAATACAAAAAGTGCGGGACGAGGTGGGATTTTTATTTATTCCTTCAGCAGGTTTCCACATTACCCAGGAGGTACTGCTCATTTTTACCTATCTTACAATAATTATTTTTAGATTAATTAAGGCACAACAACAAAATAATAAAGTACAAGCACAGTAGGTATATGAAACTCCACGATTTAATATTGAACTATAAAAAAAATTAATATTTTTATTTATATTTTTTGTGATTTTTACTGTGGTATTTGTGTGTTAATATAATAGTATATTAAAATAAAAATGATCTTTTATAATTATTTGAATTATTTTTACATGAATTCACAACACAATAATGTATTTTACGCTTGCATTTTTATCACAACTTTCCATTTTAACGCTAAGGCAAAGACTAAACAGAAATAAGAAACTATAAACAAGCATAGATCTAATTATTAAGCTTTGTTTACTAAAACATTCCACGACTCGCCCAGTCCTTTACAACGGCTGATAAGCGAGCCGCACAGATCTTGGGACTGACTCTGCTGTCTTCCATATACAGTGGTACAAGGCTTGTACTCAGTGTTGCCAACATGAGATGAAGTAGTTCTACCAAAAGCCTAAATAAAATCCACCAGAAAGCACCAGAAATTAGATAGTGTCAAAAAATAGGGAAAAGCGGGGGGGGGGGGGGGTTATGAATTTTGATAAACTATAATAGCACAATTTATTTAAAAAAGAAACAAGACAAAATAAAATAAATATAACTTCTATAATAATAATAAATATTAATATATATTTAAAAATAATCAGATTAAGTTTAACTTTATAGGGACTCTAAAAATCTAGTGACTTTAGTTTTTGTAATTTATATTCTTACACTTTTGACAATTAAGGCGAGCCGCCACTGTTACAAAGTAAAATTATTTAATAGCAAAGTTGTAACATTTTAGATATTTTGGGGCCTTAGTACACTTACTAAAATGTTCTTTGGGAACTGGAATTTTGGCAATACCTAGAGCCTTTAAGGCTTCAGGACTAGCAGTTGGAGTTGTTGGAACCGTTTTCATTGGTATATTATGCACATATACAATACATATTTTGGTAAGACGAATTAACTTATGCGATTGGTCTTAATTATTTGTACAGTTTTGATTGAAGATACAATTATTTTTTAGATGGTAGCCTCTTTAAAAATGTGCAAATTAACCAAAAAACCTGGTCTAGATTTTTCTGAAACTATATTTGAAATTGTAAAACATGGCCCAAAAGGTTGTAGAAAATATGCCCGATCAGCAAAGTGAGTTTTTATAAAATAATAATAAATAAATAAAATTACGTATTTTAATTAATAATTATATAATAATTATAATTATTATATTATTTTTAATTATTTATAAAGATTTTATTTTCAGAATTTTTGTTGAATCTGGTCTATTGCTGTCCCATAATGTTGTAGGTTCAGTATTTATTGTATTTATTAGTACTTCTATAAAACAAGTAAGTCCAGTATATAAATATAGTTTATATATTTATAAACAAAAAATTTAATTTACCACTAATTACTTTTAAATTATAATAATTATTTGTTAATATAATATAGTAATATTTCCCATGCGATTTCCAAAGGTATTTCCTATTCTATTATTTTCTATCCTCTCCATTTTAAATTTTTAAAATATTTTATTCATGGTTTATTATATTCATAGATAAGTAATTTTTCAGATAGGTATTTTTACAAATTAAAATATTTTTCATCAATTTATTTTACTTTTCTAGTTAATGGACCAACTCTACCCAGAACTGATCGAATACTCGGGCAGATGGTACATGGTGATCATCATGGTTCTGTTGATAATTTTTTGTCAAGTGCGTGAACTCAAACACATGATACCTTTCTCTTTTACGGCCAACGCGATGATGGTCATTGCCTTTGGAATAACTCTTTACTACATATTCCTGAGAATGGACAACGTGGATTTCAAAGAAATCAAGATGGTTGGGAGTTTGACAGGGATGCCCGTGTTTTTTAGCACTGTGATGTTTGCCATGGGAGGTAAAACAATCAAAAAAATATTTAAAAATACTACATTTATTTTTTAGGTAATGGTTCAATTCTTCCCCTGGAAAATACAATGATAAAGCCCCAATTTCTCGGTTGTTTTGGGGTATTGAATGTCAAAATGACTTTAATTACCTTTATGTATTTGTGTATGGGTTTTTTTTGGTTATTTGGCATTTGGGGAAGTGACTGAAGCCACTATCACCAAAAATTTACCAGTTGAAGAAGTGTATGTAGAAAATGCAGGTTGCTAGAAAAATAAACCACATAAATATGTTTTTTTAGTGTTGCCCAGGTAGCAAAATGGTGCATCTCATTGGCAGTATTCTTCACCTTCATGTTGATGTTTTATGTTCCCATAGACATAACTTGGAGGAAAATAAGTGGCCACATCAGCGAGAAACGACACAATTTGAGCCAGTTTCTTCTGCGCACAGGAATAGTGATACTTGCATCTTGCATTGCAATTTTCGCTGGCGAACATCTGGGTCCTTTGATAGAGTTAGTCGGATCGATATTTTTATCCACTTTGGGGCTCATGGTGCCCGCCATAATGGATACGCTTATAAACTGGGACAACTTGGGGTGTTTCTATTGGAAATTCTGGAAGAATTTGGTGATATCAATTTTTGGGCTGTTTGGGGCTGTCGTTGGGAGTTACTATGCCATTTTATCGATGGTTAATGGGGAGTCGTGATATGTGGATGTTTATTAATTAATCTGTGATATTTTTAAAACATTGCATATTATATTTTTTGACCTCCAAGCTTAAATACATTACAAATACAAAATAAACTTCATGTAAATATTTTTCTATAGAGTATACTCCCACCTTTAAAACGCCCTTTATCGTACATGTTTCCATGACACTAAGTGACCTTTTAAATACACATTGACAAGTTGTGGCTTTATGGCGCTTTAGTCACGGGCTGAAGTTAGTTTTAAGTTAGTTGACAGTTGTCAAATGTCATACAATCGTTAAAATAAAGTGCTATTCTTGTAAAATAATACTAAATGTGAAAATTATTTTATTATATCAATACAAAAATACAAAAGTATTAAATATTTTCTCAACGCCAATATTTGAAAAGTTTATATGAACATTGTACTGACCTTTTAATTTCGCCGGCAGTAAACTATAACTTAAATTCGGGCACGGACTCCACTGTAAAGTACTCATAAAACAATTGTGTTTATAAAATGTAAAAATTTGACATTTGACGGTGACACACAGATTCCCCTATTGTTTCATAGATGGCGCCCTATACAAGTTTTTGATTTAAATCATTTTAAGATAATAATAAGTATTTGTCGTAGAAAAAGTATAGTATGCACCTCGTTTATAAACTTTTCAATACACTCATTAATTTAAGCAGTGCCTAAATTAAATTTGTGTTAAAATGGCGTTTATTATTATACATATATACATAATATACTATTATAAACATCAAAAACATAATATATTTGTTGATATAGTCTAATAAATCTCTTGTTCGCGTCTGTAGGTAGGTAATAAACATCAGTAAACTTTTTCATATGATGGAAAAAAGTTCTTTTATAAAACAGATATTCGCGGCCCAAAAAACAACATGAAACTGAAAATATTAAAATTTTACAATAATTTATAGCTGTCGAACTTTCAGTAAAAAGCAGAGCTTTACATTGAAAATACGTTTTGAGGGGTTTAAAGGATTTTTACACCAAACGTTGTGCTTTTACAATCTCGGGCATAATACTAGTCGCTATGAGAAAATGTTGAAAAAATTCTGGGTTGTAGTAGAGTCTACAAAAAAGACATTTACAAAGTTTTAGTAAGATTTACCGTCTGGTTTTCGAGTAAAAAATTATTAAAGTTGCTAAGACTACAGGGGATGTCATCGTTTATTATTGCTAAACTGTGTTGTGATTGTTGACAACAATTTACACGCCAATTCTACAGGTATAAGTGCATGCAAAAAAATCATCGTTTTCTTATTATAAATATAACTTAAGATAAGTGTAAATTAAATACATCTCTTATACAGCAATGTCTAATTAATGCGTATTTTATAAATATCTTGGTACGATATATATATATATATATTAAAAACATACCTTCCATAAATGTTAATATTTTAATATAATACATAGATAATTAAAAAAATTACTATTTAATAAATAATAAGGATTATAAAATAAAACCTAAATTGTGTTTAAAATATTTGTCTTATTTTTTAAATACTTTTGAAGAATTTTAAATTTTAGACCATGTTTAACTTATTTTCTGCTTTTAAATTTTTCAATTATGTGGTTGCTCTTTAAATAGAAACAGTAGGTTTTGGGTAAAGGGCTTAACAAGGTAGAGGGAAGTTTTTTCTGAGGAAATTTACACTCTATTTTTTGGCCCAGAAATATACACTATTAAACATGAAAATGAAATGTGTATTTCAAATTGAATATACATATTATAATATTATTAACAATTCCAATAATACAAGTTTAAAAGGCATTTTATAAGAAAATAAAAAATACACCCTGTAGATAAAAACAATTGCTTTTGTTCGAAAGCAAAACATAAAACAGTATTTAAAACAATTTTTTTATTTTTTTTGGTTCAAATTGTTTTTATCATATGTAATATTTATTTGACAAATAATTAAAGATATGCTCTAAAACAATATTTTTATTTTTAAAATAAAATACACAGGGTAAAAAAATCTGGACTAGAACTTCAACAGTTAAATTTTAAAATTTGCTTTATTAAAGTAACAGTTTTTAAAATTTGTGTGCCTATATTTTTCAATATAAATTATTTAAAAAACAAAGTGTATAAGGCATGCATAATTTTTTTTCATTGGGTTTAATTTACCCTTTTAGAAAATCAGGGATTCTTGTCCCATTTCCAGCAAGGGTGTAGCCAGGATTTTGTTCAGGGGGACAGGCAATGGTAAACTATATGCATGCTACAAAAAGTTTAGAGGCTCCACCTCTCACCCATTTTTTAGCACAATTTTTCTGGACATGCAATTTTTGACTATAGCTCCCTCCTTTCGATTAAAACAGTTTATTCTGAACCCATAATTTATGTATATCAAGAACTAACTAACATATTTTATCCTCTAGAGTTTGTTTCTTAATTTTTGTATATTCTAAAAAGGTGTTATTGGTACCTGTAAAAGAATAGGTAAAAGAGCATTGCCTTTTAGAAACAGGTCTAGTATTCCTATAACTATAAAATAATTATTATAATTATAATATAATTAATTAATCTTGAATCTAACAATTGAATAAAATTTCCACCAACTTTAACAAAATTTCTTTGTTCTTCAAATTTACTTATACCAGAACACATTGCAAACTGCGAACATAACCCAATTGTGTATGTTTTATATTGCCGCAATCCTCTTCAAACCAAGTTTTGTTCAATAATAAGGTTTAGTCAGTTATAAATGTATTTATGTGTGTATAATACCCGCCTTCCGCTGTCCGTAAGTTTGAATTCCAATAACTAATTATCGGATCTTATTGATTTAAAAACCAAGTGAAAGCCTAACAAGCCCTTAGTAAACTCTTTCAGAAAATGTTTGTTTAGTTATTTCAGAATAAACTGTGAAACACACATTTTCGCATGTCCCATTAGCGTTTTATAAAATTTACAGACATGTTTTTTTTTTAATATTGAATAACCAGAACTTTGTGTTGCTTAATAGCAATCCATAACATCCTTAGTTAATACAGTAAACAATTTTAATATACTTTTTTTTAAATTTGACTCATGTCCCAGACATTTTTTCGTTGCGTTACGTCCGTCCGATAGAATATTAAAAAACCATATATATGGCAACTTTTTTTGCACTCACGTGATCAACAAATGATGTTCAGATGTACACATTACCCAGCTGAATTTATTTATTCAATCAGGAAGAAGATATCGGTTGAAACAGGTGCGGGTAACGCGAATGTAATAATTGTTTGTCCGCTAAGTTATTCAAAAAAAATAATAAAAATAAGATAAGAAAAAATACTAATTTCAATTTCAATCAGGAAGAAGATATCGGTTGAAACAGGTGCGGGTAACGCGAATGTAATAATTGTTTGTCCGCTAAGTTACTCAAAAAAAAATAATAAAAATAAGATAAGAAAAAATACTAATTTTCATGTTTATGTTTAATTAATGACTGTAATGTCCTATTATTATTTTTTAAATATGGTTTCACAAAACTTTTTCCACTGCGTTACCGAGTCCATTATGTTACCTTATGGTAACGCAATGGAATTTAGGGTAACGCAATAGAATTTTTTCACAACAAAGTAGATATTTACCGCCTTTTATTAAAAGTAGTTTATGATAAACCAATTTAAAATTATTTGTGATTACAACTCATGATATAGATTACATCCAAGGGAAAATTTCACGCAATATACAAGTACTAAAGAAAAAGGGTGTCTACAATTTAGAAATCTAAGTTGTTATTGTGCAAGTGAGCACCACTACAGGGGATTTTGTTTATGCATTACTCTAAAATCGTACCACCCTATATAGATTCTTTTTTACGTTATCTGATTAAGTCCTTTGTGTACCCCAGTCCGTTGGGATACCAATGTCTATTTCGTTACTTTTTTTAGTTTTTGTTAAAAAAATGATTTTTATACACTATCACTTGGTAATACGAGGTTATAAATTAGAGGTTAACTCACTAATACAGTGACTAAAAAGCACACAATTTTTAATAATAAAAAATTGGAGTCAAAAGTTTGTGAACTAAGTACATTTTATTTCAAAATATTTACTTTTTTTATTGGATTTCAAATTGGTAACTCACTAATACAGTGACTAAAAAGCACACAATTTTTAATAATAAAAAATTGGAGTCAAAAGTTTGTGAACTAAGTACATTTTATTTCAAAATATTTACTTTTTTTATTGGATTTCAAATTGGTAACATAGTGGAGATATACATATTAAGCTAGCTAAACACATTTTTCTGAAAAAAACGTAAAAAAAATTAAAAAGTGCACTTCTTGTCTTAAATGTAAGTAAAAAAAAACTCTATGCATTAATAAAAATCCAAGCAAAAGTCAATTTAAGCGACAAAAAAAATTGATCTTCATTTTCCTGAAAGCGGGTGTTTCTTGAAAATGACCCTTATATTTAATAATATATTTTAAAATTTATTATTCTTTTAATGTTATAAATACATATTTAAGTATATGTAAGGTAACCTACAAATCTTTATTGTCATTTAAAATTGGCTATGTTGCCAAATTGGTTCAAACTTAAATCGGTTGAAATAAAATTTATATTATAAATAAATCAACGTTTCTGCGTACGGCCCAAAGTGAAGATAATGCTGCAGTAAAATAACCATGGAAATTTTTAACAAAACCAATATTAAATCATTTTATTTTCAGAATTTCATGCAACGATGTGAATCGTTAAACGTCATGTATGTACGGATGCAGGCGGCAACATCAGCGAGCTTTACGTCTACGTACCAGTTCGTAACGCTGTATAACACACAATACATAAACTGACTGGAAGTTACGTTCGCTACGTGACGGTATTAGGTTTTATATTTGAAAACTCTGCCAAAGTAAGTCCACTTGGAAGTATTATTCCCAGCGACGGTCTCCTCGTGCCCCAAATACGAATTAATGGACATGAACGGAGCGATCGAAAACTAAAAAAAAATCCACGCCACGAAAAATGAAGGGCCATTTATTAAAATGGATTTAAAGGAATTTTACTGACGTAACCTTATTTATTTGTTTTCTTTGTTTCGTTGGGCTTAGCCACGGCCAATTGGACATCAAATT